ATCAACATGAACATTAAATTAGGTGGCATACACAGGAAAAGACACACTAAATCACCTCCATACACAAAGAGTTCTCTCTAGTCCTTTCCTCCCCTTGGTTCGTTATCTAGATTTCCATTCTCGTCTTATTTCCAGATTGTTTTGACTCATCTAAAGAGGAAAGATGAAATACACCTGAGTTTTACTTGATGGTTTTATTCTTTCTCTGCTTTCCAAGACTGCACATTTCTTTCCTGGAGTGCTGGGAATATATACAACTAGTCCCCATTGAAGCTTCTGATTCAGTCATTGATTTGTGTAAGAGGTGAGGCCGGAGTAGAATGATGTGTGCCAAAGAAAAGCTATACATATCCTACAAACTAATCAGAATAATTCAAGATGTGGACCCTCAGTTTTCAAAAATCCATCCAAACTTCCGCAAAAGCCTTCTCCAAAGCCTTATACTTAATGTCCAGCTAGTTGACTAGTAAGCACCTAATTGTAATTAATACTACTTTAAAAGCTTAAAAAGTTGTACTTCTTTTAGAACTTCAGTCAAATCTAGAGTGATGGCACAATAGTTTCTACAATGTATCATAGTTCTTGGGGGAGAGGGGGAAGGGGGAGCATGGAAAGTAACTGAGAGATCAGAAGCAAATCACAAAGAAGAATTCATATAGACTGGCAGCCCCAAACTGTACTCAGCCATTGTGCAGCTAGACACACCTGGATTATCATTCAACAGAATAACAAAGACTGCACTGAAAAAAAAAATCCTCAAATCCCCTTGTCCATCTAAACATTCTGACGTCTGAGGTGGGTTTTCTGCCCCTCCTTAGCTCTGTTTATGAATAGGGTGGACCACATTGCTTGACCTATTTGCTGAAATTTGCTGGAACTCCAAGAGACCATATGGGTAGCCAGATGGTTTGCTGAAATTTGGTGCCGCTATTCAAAGGATGATGTAAGGTATAACCATAATTTGCATTCTTTTCCATCCCTTCTGCATACCTTTTATGTGTTTCATTTTTTTTAACTCAAACATCAGAAAGAGAGATAGTACCTTGCTACCAAGACAAAGATGCCAGCTAATTACTACCAGAGACCCCAGCCCTGATATCACAGGCCAGACACTCAGTGACCCATGGTAGTGATTAATAGATTGAGTGCTAAGCCCTAATAAGAGCGTCAGATCTCAGGTGTTCTTGAGGCTAATGTAATTAGCATTATGCTGAGCAGAATATTTCAGTACTTGGTGGAGATTCATCACACTTCTCAGTCAAACTAGGTGCTTTATAATGCCATAGTCTTTGAATTTATTTTATGATCATCAACCTCCTAGGCCTCTGTAAACAGAGAATTTCCAAATACCAGATAAAATTTAAATATTTTAATCAAATATTGATTTTTCTACAATAAAGAGCCCTTGTGTTATACATAAATTGAGGAGGTTTCCAGAGATGCTTGTTAAAATGCAAATTTCTAGACTGAGTAGAAATTCTGATAAGAAGGGTAGAAGATAAAGACTAGGTCTGTGTATTTTTAACACGACTTAATATTCAGACACAGAAAATCTGTTGAATATTCTCAAAAACAAAACCATTTAAATGTCAGTAGTAAGACTAATAACTGAAGTTTATATTGTTTCTGACAATATTATTTGCACTGACTCAAAGAAAATTGTCCTAAGAAGAAGATAGCTTTAAATGAGCCAATTATTTTGTTAAAAAAATGAAGATAAGCCACAGATATATGAGTATTATTTCCAGCAAATCATATAAATGTCTGAGATCTACATGTAAACATTGATACAGCAGTCAACATTTCTACCTGTCAGAAAAAGCCAAGTGTTGTGTTACGTTTTGGTTTTATCCCCCCCCCCCCAAGGGAAAAATCAATGCATAGCAGAATTTCTACAATCCTTGATTTTACTCCCTAGCCAAGGGAAGCGTGCAAAACATTTCAGCCCTGATAACTGAGGACTTGGGGAAAATATTACAAGGACTTTTAATTGGATTTCACTTGGATATTAATATTGTCAGTTACTACCAACTATTTTCATAAATCTAGTATTGCTATCTTTTTCTCTCTTTTGATAGTACTGCAGCTTGAACTGGAGGCCTCCTTTACCACTTGAAACAGGTCCCCAACTCTTTATGCTTAAACTATATTTAAATAAGATCTTGTGGTTCCCCTCCCCCCACCCCCCCAGCCAGGTTTGACTGCGATCCTCCTACCTTAATAGACATGTAGCACCTTGTCCATTTTGTACTTGGGTATAAGGTCCCTCTAACTTTTGCCCATACTGGCCTTGAATAGTGTTCCTCTTAATACCATCTCCCAAGTAGTAGCACAGCTTTTGTAGAAACAACCAGATATAAAATATCTGTTTATCTGTTTATTTTATTCATCCATTGCCCTAAATATTTAAGTTTTCAATATGTATAGCTATCAAACTACCATTTTATTTATGAATTTCAAGTTTTCTTTGATGCTTTTTCACATGCATACAGAGAGAAAGAGAAAGCATTTATTTTTAAAGAAAGAATATGAATTAAATGAAAACATGTATACTTGATAAATCTGTTGATATCTGAGAAAATCAAAATGATATGCGGTTAAATTAAAATTACTCCACTCTTGATACCAGTGCCTTTAGATATCCTGCCAGGAGGAAGAAAGTTGCTACAGTCATATAGCAATATATACAATACCCATTATTATTGTTGAAAGACATTCTTAGAAAGCATATTAGAAGCAGAAATTTTATCATTGACATGGACAAACAGCATTTGACACTGGGATAAAAAATATATATTTAACTTAACCAATCCTGTGCTGCACTGGTTTAATCCCAAAATCCACAAAAGTGGAAATGCACACAACAGCTAACATTAACACACAACCACACACAGAGACCATAGGATTCACCCTGGATTGAACTTTTGCACCATTCTGTGACTAAACAAAACAGCTTGGTGGGAGCAGGAGAAATTAACACTGCAGGGAAAGGATATGGCATTAAGTGTGCAGGCTTGGTTTAGGCCTGGCTCTAACACTCTCCTTCTATAAAGATGATGACAGCGAAGGGGAAAGAGCAATGACTGATAAGCATCTGCCATGAATGGTCTGTCTGACTTAGGGAAGCTACCTTGGTTTCTCTATTTTTCAACTGCAGAGAAGAAAGCTTAGAGCAATTATGAACAGGTTGTTCAGAGGATCACCTCATTTCACACATTGAAAGTACTGACAGAGGAGACCTCAATGGACAGTAAAATCCCTAAATGCTAGACATTATCACAGACACCAGAACTTCTGCAATAAGAACCATACTCATGTCGCTGATGAACTAAAAAGGATTTTACATTTAAAATGTTCTGCTTTGTAAATATGGTAAATAATAGTATAAAGATTTCTTTCATCCATTTATCCCTTTCCTTTAAAATAAACTATAGTTTACAATTGGTAGATCTGTCTCTATATAAATGTATATTAAAGAGCAAAGATGTATATCTAAAAAAATCACCTAAATCTGCTTTATTAGTTCACTTATTACATAGAGACTGGACTCTACATTCTTAAAGTACTTTTACTTTTCTTCAAGATATGAACTTATTCTCTTGAAGCTGAGATTTCTTTTATTAAATCAGTTACGTATATCTGGTCAATTATGACCAGACTTTTGTTAGATTGCATGCAATCATTAAAATATACACTTGGTACACTACGAGGGGAAAAAAGATATGGAACTAGGTCATGTATATGATGTCTTTCAATTATTTTCTTTTTTGTTTTCCTTCAATTCTGAGTTGGAATTCAGATCTTGCACGTGTTAGGCAGGTACTCCATCCCTCAGTACGACGACTGTCCAATTTAGCTTTAGTTATTTTTTAGAGAAGGTCTCACACTTTCTGCCTGATTCTGGCCTTGAACTGCAGTCTTTCTATGCATGCCTCCTGAATAAATAATAAATAAATAAATGGGATTGCAGATGTACACCATCGTTCTTGTCCCTTAATTCTCATATTCTATACTGCCTCTTGAAGTTACATATCCAGTGAAAAAGTAAAAATTTTAAAAATACATATATTTTAAATAATGACTTTTTTCAAAAGATGTCATTATTTGACAAATTTTATGGCAATGAGTAATTATTTCACACACATAAATTTAAATGAGTCTAGAATGTATTTGCGAACACTTCATTATTCTCAATATCTAGTATATGTCTGAGTCAAGCAGAAAAGGTCAGATAAGGTGATGTTAGGGAAATGAATCCTAAGATATGTATTCAAATGTTTTTTTTTCTTTCACGCGATTGTTTCTAACACATTTATAAGATTATTTCTCTTAGCTTTTTGTACCTCATGTTTTGCATAATAGCAAATGCAATATGTGAAAGGGAAAGGGAATCACAGAAACAGAACAATGAACCACAGCAACATTGATACTCACTTGACACTATGAGCGATATGAACATCACCAGTTGGGTGGGGAGATAGGAAGAGGTTAAGTGGGAGATAAAGATAGATGGGATAATGATTTTTTTAAATGTACTTATTGTCTTACCTATGTAACTGTCACCCCCCCCCAAGTCATTGCCTTTTCAATTAAAAAATTAAAAAAAAATGTAAGTTCTAATTACACTTTTGATTGATTTTTTTTTGGGGGGTCCGGTCGTGGGGCCTGAACTCTGGGCCTGAGAGATGTCCCTCAGCATTTCAGCTCAAGGCTAGTGCTCTACCACTTGAGCCACAGTACCACTTCCGGCTTTTTTCTTTTTGCTTATGTGGTGCTGAGGAATCGAACCCAGGGCCTCATGCATGCAAGGCAAGCACTCTACCACTGAGCCACCTTCCCAGCCCTTGATTGATTTTTTTTTTTTAACTGACTCTATAATACAAACTCAGAACTGCAGCATCTCAAGACAGTGCACGCAAAGCATGTAGCATGAATATATATTGTTACATCAGCATCGAGACATTCTCACTCCAGAATTCTACTTTTCTGGAGACTCTTACCTCCCGCATACATAACGGCCAGCATGATGGACGAGATCCACGCGATCTCGCTGTAGGAGGCATGGAAGATTCCCTGAATGTCTTTGAAGAATACTGTGACCGCCTTGGGAAAGGCATATGAGAATCCAATGCAGATGAAAGATGCTCCAACCACAACCCAGCCCCAGCCTCCATCGGGAGGGCTGTGGAGGGGCGGAGAGGTGGGCGGAGGTGGCATTTCCGCAGATGGAAATTCAAGTTACCTAGACAAAATAAAAACAACAACATAAAAATAGCTTGAACCTTATTTCTTCCGTAGAAAAATCTACAAAAATGTTATCACAGAAATAACTGGCTATTATGAACTAAAAATTGAAAGTATTTCATTTGTTTCAGAGAGGGAAAATAAGGCAAAGTTAAGATTTTTAGATCTAAGCTAAACTGCCAACTAAATAATTAGAGCTATCTCAAATTTATTTCTAGGTATAATAAAAAACAGAACTGCCATGATGTATATATATATATATATACATATACACACACACACATAAGTGTATAGAAAACATATGTATATATATCCACATAAGTGTATACAGATATACCCGTATATTTACATATAAATATATATACACTTTCTTAAATATATTGAACTTAACACTTTTATACTCAAAGATAAAAGCACAGGTATTACTTCTGATAAATTACAAAGAAGTCAGTAGGAACATTTTGGAATTTTTTCCACTTTCAATAACAATGCTTAAAGTCATTCTTCTTGGATCTGTTTTACTGAATTTCTAGCATTAGAAATTACATTGTTCACATGAGCTACATTCATCACAACACACTTTGAAAACTGGTGCTATCTGTCATTGTATGAATGATTTATTTTATGTAGTTTTTATATCAATGGAATTCTCCCAATGTCAGGGATGTTTGTTGTTTGGGGGGGGGGGCGGGGACAAGAGGGAACAATAATTGGAGAATGAGATTTTCCATTTGGGTGCTCCTTAAAAACACTGAACTGCTGGTTTTAAGAAAGGGAATAAGCTCTCACTTACAGAAGAAAACAATGACATACACAAATATTTTTGAAATCACGTGTATTAAATTTAAAACACCTTGGTTCTTTAAGACCATTTTGTTTTTGGTGAAGGGATACTGGTTGTTTAGTTCCTTTTTAAAACACAATTTTATTGTTATTATAAAGGAGATGCACAGAGGGCTTACAGTTACATAAGTCAGGTAATGAGTTCATTTCTTTTTAAACAGTGTCACCTCTTTCCTCGTCTTCTCCCAGTTTTTCCCTCCTGATCCCTCTCTCCCACAAGTTATATAGTTCATTTTCAACATAGTGTCTAGTGAGTATCACTACTGAATTTGTTGACCCTTTGTCTCACCATTTTTATGCTCCTCCTTACCATCCCCCAACACAGATGTTATTTTGCTTCTTATTTTTTTCTGCTATGTCACTGATTTTTATTTCTGTACCTTTTGTCTTGTATGTAAGTGTATCTGTGTTGCTTAGCTCTTGACTATATGTAGTCCCCAGTCTCCATATCATCTTTACATCACTCTCATTGTATTTGTAGATATCTTTCCAATGACATACAGAGGGAAAGACAGAACTTCATTTCTTTTGGGCAAGATGATGCTTGTAATAAGCTAAAGAAATCTAATTTGGTCACATCTTCAGAAAACCTAGCATCAGGCGGGGTCCATTTATTAATGATCTATGTGGACGTTGGAACTCCCATTTTACACACAGAAAAGTACATATGCAAAGGCATTGTCTGTAGGATCCACAGTGAAGAGTTGGCCATACTAACAAAAGTCACATAAATATTAATTTTGTCAGTAATTTATATAGGCTCTACCATAAAAGGTAAATAATTTTGTATCAAAATTATGTATATATATGTGTGTTTGTAAGTTGCACACATGTTTATAATATGCATCTACATATGCATATAACATGATACAAACACTGTACTTCTATCACATCCTGTCCTCTAAAATTCTGGTTTTATATGGAATTCTATACATAAAATTGATTTTATTTTACAATGGCTTCATTTTGTGGCACGAAGATTAAGCATGAGGGTGTTGAAGGCTTGTCACATTGGATCCTGCACTGAAGCATTTAGTATAGTAATAGAATGGTGTCTGTTCTTTTAACTGTAAGATCAGAGTCATTTCATTTACTTCATAAAGTAACAAAGACTGACAGCAGGATCCATGTAAAGTAAATTGCAGGACTGATTATATCCTAAACAAATATTACCTGTCACTATCCTGGCCTTCCTTTAATTGATAATTAAACATAATGCTCCTTAATGTGGATTACAATTGGATTTTTTTCAATCCCATTTGAACATGGAAGGCATGTGTGTGTGGCTTTCATTTCCACCAAATTTCATGTTCTAAGTTGCATTTAATATTCCAACTATAATTTTTAAAAGCCAAACCTTAGAAGAAAATTTTGCATAAAGAATACTTAGCTCCAAAGGTAGTGTTAAAATAATAATGCTAGAGTCATGACTGCTTTCCTTAGTTCAGTATTCTGCACATTGAAGTGTTCAATATGACAGCATTTAGCTCAGTTTATTTATATTGAAATATATATGTGTTTTTATATATGTATGTATATACATCCCTAAACTTGATTACTATATATAAACTAAAACTATAACTAACTCTAATTGAACTGACTATAACTAAAACTTATATTTTATAGTATATATAAAATTTTGATCATCTAAAGAAACAAATGAGGTAAAATTCAATAATAATTTAATAAATACGTGTGAACCTAAGTAAAATGAATTCTATGTACTACATGCCTGTATTTACACAGATACGATTCATTTATTTGTGCTAGTGGAAGCAGTTGGCTTTTAACTTAACATTATATTTTCACATTTATACATGATTTACATTGATTTTTTTCTAATCTGATGTTATGAAGTTCAGCTGGTTCTTATTACTCGTGGGAATTATGCTCAATAAAGTTATCTAAACATTGAATTAGTGAATACTGAACCAATGATCATGGGAAAGATAAAGGATTGGGTCTCTGCGATTAGGTTTTTAATCACAGTTTTATCAATTAATAGACAATCTTGTAAGACATGTATATCTGCTTAAAAATACCTTATTCAACATAATTTATTGATTCATGAACTTGGAACTGAAGGCCAACTCAACTGTAGGGAAACTTAAACCTTAAAGGAGCTTGTGTAACACAGCATTTTCTCTTTAAGATATATCACGGTATCCTTGCATTCAGGGACTTTCAAGTTAGCACTCCTGCAAAATTCGCACAGGCATTGTAAATAGCAAAATTAGCAACCAAACCCTCAAAAACGTGGGAAACAGGGCACTTAGCAGGCTGCCAAGAATTCTTGGTTTTACTATAAGTAAAATAAGGAAGTAAAGTACTGCCAAAATTTAAAATGTTTAAATATAATACACTCAAATAAAAAGGGAAAATACTAGCTACAATCTTGACACTAATAAACAGTAGTACATAAATTGATAAACATTAGGGTAGGGCTTTAATTAAAGGCATGACTATATGCGATGTAAAACTGTAAACAATTCAAAGTTCTATCAAAATCATAGGTGTCAGCATATAAAGCAGTAGAAATTTCCAATTAATGTAAGGTAATTTTATGTATCATCTCCACAACTAGATTATGATTCTTCTGATTTCGATACATAATGATATTTAGATATCATCCACTGAGCTGTTGAGAACCTTGCTATAGCGTCTGGGTTATCAAAGGCATTGATGATTAATAGGTGAGCTTTTGTCTTGGGTTTAAGAGTGTTTTTTATTTAATTAGAAGTACATGTTACAATTCTCCACTTTTTTATTTGCTGCCCACCTTGTTTATTTCCTATGAAGTCTCATCTAAGGGTCTCTTAACTAATTATTGGAAAGTATATCCAAACCAATTAGCTCATGGAAAATTGCATGTCTAAAATCATGGCCCTACTTTATTCTCAGTTATTGAGTTGACAGAGTCAAGATCAATTTCAAACACACGTACATTAGCTTCATGATTCTTTCTGTGCACAATTCTGTAATCCTTGATATAATTAAACAGTGTTGTGTTCTGTTCCTGAGATTTGTAGGCATAAGTCAAGAAAAATGGAGTTAAAAATAGATTTTTACCTGTTGACAGATGTCCACTTGAACAGATTTCTTTGGGTTGTATGTGGAATTTTTAAGCCTAGTCACTTCACATTGAAGTGTAATATTCAAAGGCAATACAAAGGAAGAGAGGTAGAGCAGATTCTGAATTCTCTATGGAAATAGAAAAACAAGGGTTACATGTAGAATTATACAAGCCTGATTAGAGCACCTAGCTTTGACACATCTCAGTAATTGTCACCATTATTTAATAATTATGTACACTAAATAGAACCATATTTCATTGACACCACCCACCATTTTTTGTTGCCACAAATGATGAAATGTGCACATAAGGTACAATAAGAAAGAAAAAGTGTGAGATAAAGAATTGGATTTGTTCTCAACAAAATACATAAACAGATCACATAGATACTATACCATCATGAGAAAAGAAATGCTGCCATTCATTAGCTTTCATACAAATCCCTATATTATTTAATTTGTACTAAAATTTAATTAAATAAATATCCATTGCCAGTTGAAAAAGTTTAAGTAATAGAACAATTTCAGTAATACACATGTTTTAACAATGAGCCAAAATGGGTAGAAAAAAAGGAAATAAAAAATATTTTATTAGAGAATTGTGGTTAGAATCTAGACTTCCTAATCATGTCTTGGTGATAGGCAAATATGCTAAATCTCTAATCTATTAGTTACCTTTATTTCAGTATGGCACTGAATATATAAATAGATCCAGTTCTAAGAGGTTATTTTCTTTGATCTAAGCCTTCATTTAACTAGATTAACTCTGATAAAAAGTCAATCATTTGGATTAAACAACAAGTCATTCGCCTTGTGCTAAGACCACCAATTCACCAATTCTGAGGTCCTGAAAGAAGATAACAGAGCCACTGAGTCAAAGGAGGTTTTTAATCAGAAGATGAAGGAAGTGTGAGCTCAGTGTTAAGTCAGAGGGACTATCAGGGGAAACAAGAGTAAGAATGAGTAAATGGACTCTGAAAGTCACAGATACAATCTGAGACAGAGGCAAGAACAGAACTGAAGGTTTAACTTGTGCTAAGAATGAAGCATGCACATTCCTTGCTTCCCCTGTCTGGAGACAGAACAGTAAGAAGAGGGACTTATCAACTTGTGTCTGCAAGAGTCTTGGTGGTGATTTTTGTATGCTGGGTAATTCATGAATGTAGTTCCATCTACACCATGAAAGCAGCCCACAAGGATGAATGAAGAATTGTTTTTTGTATTCCTCTGTTTCTTCTAAGGCTCATTTCATTGGAAAGCATCTAAAAATTGAGCTCTGACCCCTCCCCCAGGCTATAATTATTCATACTCATGGTTTATATACATTAGGTTAAGAGCTAGAACAAGAGTAATCCTGAGTTAGGAAATGGAAAGACTTGGAAAAAATTATATTAAGTGAAGTAAGCCAGGCCCAAAGAAACATAGGTCCCATGGTTTCCCTTATTTGCAATAACTAGTACATGTCTGAGTCAAGCAGAAAAGATCAGATAAGTTGATGTTAGGAAAATGAACTCTACGATATGTATTCAAATGTTTTTTTCTTTCACAATTTTTTTTGGGGGGTCCAGTCGTGGGGCTTGTACTCTGGGCCTGGGCACTGTCCCTCAGCTCTTCAGCTCAAGGCTAGTGCTCTACCACTTGAGCCACAGCGCCACTTTGGCTTTTTACTTATGTGGTGCTGAGGAATCGAACCCAGGGCCTCAGGCATGAAAGGCAAGCGCTCTACCACTGAGCCACCTTCCCAGCCCTGTTTTTTTTTCTTTCATGTGATTATTTATAACACATTTTTATAAGATTATTTCTTTGTTGCTTTGTATGTCCCTCCCCCACGGTATAACCCCAGCTTTCACTGTATTTGATGTCAGTATAATTTGTGGAGGGGAAGGGAAAAAAACAAATCGTTTAAATGGGGATACAGGTAGGCCCATTGCAACAATGAGATGTACAAGTCGGGTTGTTATGTGGAAAACGAACTTTACAACTTTGGTGGGGGGGGGGGGAAGGATGGGAAGGGATGGGAAGGGGAAACAAAGGAGGAGGCTACAATGCTTGATAAGAAATGTACTCATTATCTTGCCCATGTAATTGTAACCCCTCTGTACAGTATTTTCACAATAAAAAAAAAAAAAATCCTGAGAAATTCTTGGAATGCTACAAATCCTCTATGCTCACTACAAGTTCTTAACATTTTACAGTGCCTTCATCTGACTCTGGTCCATTTTCTTTCAGGAAGAACAAATCACATTCTGGACTCTTTGAATGAGTTGGTCAATCATCTGGAAATACATTGCTTGATAGTTACACTTATTGATACCTTTGTTATATCCTTTTCTTGGCATATATTAAACTTCCATATTCTATTTTTAATTAACATGATATGTTGGTCTTTGACTTTAACAATGAAAGACAATTTTTTAGAATTAGTGTATGTCATAAAAGATACACAACAATCCTTTAGTACACGTAAACACCAATTCTTTAGTACTTTGGAAGTATTTCTTTTAATTTAGGACAGTAATTCTTTTGGCGATTCATGGCTGAAATCCAAGTTGGCACAAGGCTTATTATGAATTACCACAGCCAGTATTAATGCACAATATTTGCTGATTTTATTTCTTAGCAGTTTCCATGTATGTCATTTTTTTGTTGTGAAATTTATATATCACAAGAATGTGAAACAAAAATGATGCCTTAAAGATCTCTTTTTTTTAACAATTCAGTTGACTGATTTTTATAATTCCATGAACCTGGAAAAAGTTATATAATTCTAAATCACATTCTATTCACAAAAGCATAAAGGATTAGAGATATAGTGTGAGTTTTCCAAAATATTATAGTCAATAAGTAATCAAAAATGGTATCATGAGCAGCATATTTCTATAGAGACCATTGTTACCAATTCAACGTTAGCACACCAACATGAAAGCTGCACTTTCTCTATGCAATTATATTTATTCCTTCAGTTTTATTCCAATGGGGAACATTCAAACTTCAGTTCATGCTCATGTCCTTGCCTGTCTTCTCCATCAGAGTTCATATAATTACTCTATGAGTTCAAAATACTACAGCTATCCTTCAAAGTTTAAAATTCATCCTTGTTCTAGTTAATTTACTTCTATGGTTTCCATAAGACTTATTTTAGTCAACAAATGATGCCATTAATTGAAGAATGAGCTGAGAGAGCTCTCTTAAAGATTCGACTATTTCAAGTGACTTTGAACAACTTTTATGTAATAGCCTATGTACTGAAACCTAAGAACTTCATCTTGTCTTCTAGAATCAATACAGGCTGATTAATTAGGTTGATTAGTCTATGAAGAAAAAGATGTAGGACACAGAAGCAATGAAGTGATAGGCAATGGTCAATGTCTGGACTATAATATATTCAAGGTTTTTTCTCATTCAGTTGAACAGACTATGGGAATGCTCCTTTATAAATTTTGTGAGGAATCCTTTCTTCAACTTCTTAAAAGTAAACCACCATGCTTCAGCTCTACAGAGCCTTCTCAATAGTCTACCCCATCTAAAATTTTATCTTTCAAACTAAGGTCCAGAAATAATATACTCAGCAAACTAAGTCTCAGATTAAATCAATAGGAGATAGAAGACTTTTGGCGTCTCTATAAATATCTCTAAATGCGCTATCATGAAAGCATGAACTTTCTATCACATCCTACCTAAACACTGGCCTAGGCTTTCACATAAATGAATTGATATGTTCTTAGAAGAAAAATCCACTGATCTTTCTGATTTCTATTACCTCTTTCTTATACAAAAGGATAGAACAAGCTCAAATTAATGTATACTGTTTAATTTAGGTGATAGCTCACCCAATTTTACAACAGAAAATAAATCAAGCCAGATCTTTTCTTTTCCAACCTGTAATTGAATTAAAATTGGAATCTAATCCTGAGGTTATTTTATTCTTCAAAGTGAACCATCTTTTAAATCGTATTGACATTTTCTTTGACATCTAGGCAAGAAACTTGCCAATAGTGCCTGGTCCACAGAATGTCAGTAACATGGAACATATATTTAGATTTAAATTATTGCTATAGTTGTAATGACCCAGAATTCTAATTGATGACAAGGGTCAAACTAATCACATGTCTTTAGGATGGGAAAATTATGAAAAATAATAGGAATTGATACTAGATTATCTATGAAGATTTGGAAATTAATCTTCTAAACAATAGTCCTAGACTCTGATATTTTGCAGTTAAATCTATAAAAACAAGTATAGTGATAGAAAGGTGGCTCAGTGGTAGAGTGCTTGCCTTGCATGCATGAGGCCCTGTGTTCAATTCCCCATCACCACATAACCAGATAAAGCCGGTCGTGGTGCTGTGGCCCAAGTGGTAGAGGCTGCCCTTGGGCTAAAGAGCTCAGGGACAGTGCTCAAGCCCAGAGTTCAAGCCCCATGGCTGACCAAAAAAAAAAAAAAGTATAGTAGATGAGTGGGTGGCCATGCCCATGCCTCAATACTCAAAATCAACAGATTACCTTATATAGCAAAGGATGCAATTCATTAAAGACTAAGATACACTTGTTCTGCATTATTCAGGTGGGCCCTAAATGCAATCACATATGCCCTTGCCCTGCCATGCAGAAAATGGAGCAAATTTAGAGACAACAGCACAGAAGAGACTCACACTCAACAGAAGGGTTATGGTAATCTGATCATGGAAGGGAGGTGGAAAGTCAAGTGATCACAGGACACAAAACACCAAGAATGATGACAGCTGCAGGATGCCAAAAGAGGCTTGGAGCAAAGTCTTCCACAATGTCTCTTTCAATGAGTACTAGCCTGTGAGTTGGCCTTAAGAAGGGTGAGATTAAATTTCTATTTCCTTAACACACCCAGTTTGTAGTAATTTGATACAACTGCCCTGGGAAACTGGTACAGTAGTCCTGGTGAATCATTTACACAAGCCATGAACCCAGAAATTACACTGTAAGGATCTCTTTGTAAAAACAATTGCTCAGTTATACACAAACCTCTGTGCTAGATATTCCAGGAAATTCACCATAAAATTGCCAAATTGCTGCACATTCATAAGATAGTACTAAAATCCATACTACTTTAGTTTTTGGAATGAAGATCTGTATACATTCAAGTGACAAAATTG